GGAGTTCATTATTTTATTATTTGAATTATACTAAATTATAAAATAAAAATTATTAAATAAAAATATTTCTTAAGTCATGTTCAATATTAAGGATTTATTCTCTATCTAATAATAAATCTTATATAATTTAATATAATTTGAAACAATTCAGATTGCACAACACTTTTTTATTTTTAAAAAGTATCATATCTTTATACTTTTGAATTATTTATGGGTTGTACAACAACTATTCTTTCTGTATTTTACTTAAATCATATACATTTCATATAATTCAAACTAAGAATTTATTAGTTCTAATTAAAAAAATTAATTTGAGTTACTTAACTTCAATCTAGATTTTGATTGGTTAGGGACAAAATAAAAGAAAGGAAGCTCAAAAAGAACCAATTGGAATTAAAGGGAAAAAGAATTAGTTGGAAATTAAATTAGGCAGCTTTCAATTTCAAGTTTTGAATCCATCCATTCGATTGCACAAATCAAAAAAATAAATAAATAAAAATTGTAACTCGATGAATTAATGAATCGATCCACAAAACAATCGTTTGCATTTTGTACTCAGAATCTCAAATTGAAAAGATTAACAAAAATGATAGTGCGTAAAGATTATTTAATCATGACCTAAGGAATGTGGTATAACTTTGATGATTTCAAATTATCAGTGACATTGAAATACTTCAAGGTCCGAACCCAGTTATCCTGATTCTTCAACAGGTGCACAGCCACCGTATTTGGCCACAGCTCATGTGTGCACTTTGTCGGCGGGTCAGGATAATTGTACATAGACCACTTGGCATTGTACCTATTCTTTCCGCGGCTGCCTTCCTTGAGCCAATTTCCGAACACCATATCCTCCGGTCCTTCCATGTGCTTTTTCGGAATATCAGACTCTCTGATCCACTCGGTAATATCCCAAGAAACCAGATATCCCATGCCAGACATGTACCGGACGAAAGGGTCCATGCTCTCGCACGGGATAACGTAGCCATAGTACAAGTCTTCCCTAGGCAATGGCCTCAATGAGTCCACCAAGCTTCCCAACCGGATATATGTATCATCATCTGATTTCATGACATAATGGTACGGTGGATAAGGCCGGTCATCGGCCGTCGAATTGAACAGCTCCGGTAAGCTCGAAAAGTATGCATACGTCTTGCCCTTGTTCATGTTCTCCGTGCAGTTGAGGATAATGATGTCATCAAACCGCATTATCTCAAGCGCCACCAATACCTTCTGATCTTCCTTCGTTAGGTTGCAGAACACAAACTTAACGTCAACTTTTGCTCCAACCAGAGACTGCGTGCCATATATCATGCGAAGGAAATGGCGGCGCGGGTACTGATCAGGGAGGGTTAGGATACCGATGAGTATTCTAACCTCATCCGAGGAAGAATTCGAATCTTGTATCGAAGAAGTATACAACTGAGAAAGGTTGTTAGAAAGAATCGAAGAAAGAGAACATAATCTACCAAACCTTAATAAGTTTTCAAATCGAACTTCGTTAATGGAAGCTAAAACACATAAGAACAAGATAAACAGAACGGAGAGTAGAAAGAATCTTCTCCTTTTATAAAATCTTGAAGCTTTCATTGATTTCTTTTGTGGTGGAATTCTGCAGAAAATCGGTTTATGACTTATGAGGAATTGGGGATTGAAAAGAGGGATTTTAAGAAAATGGGAAAAGTTTCTTAGATGTAACGCATTGAGATGTCAATTTCGTGATATATAGACAAACGGCCGGTTTGACTTCACATATTACAAGGAACATGATGCTGGAAAAGTGCGGAGGAAATGAATGAAAATGTGTGGAGTGCATGAATGTACAATTGTCTCCTTTCATGTGATATGGAAATTATGGGAATATCATGAAGATGTCTTGTAAAATAGTATTGACTTATAGTGTTTGCGAAGCTATATCAAACTTTTATTGGGTGTTAATTTGTTTCAATTTAATATTATTAGTAAGTTGTTTGCTCATTCAGCTCGATTACAACAGCTACTGCAAGATCTTACAAACAATTCAATCCTTGGATTTTTCATTATGTTTAATAATTATTAGTTAGGATTTAAGAACTACTTCAACCTTTATTATATTTAAGGTCCTGGCTTGGATTCTTAGAACAAACTAAGAGACTAAGAAAATGAGAAGCTAGCTAGGGATGCATCTCCCTTTGGCAATTCATACAAAAGTTAGGGAGATTTTAGTCTTTTCACTTAGATGATTATTTTTCTTAGATCTAATTCAAGAAATATTAGTGAACTTAAGCCTAACGTTGGGTGCACTCCATGTGGTCAACTTTTCGTAATTAGGTGGATTTGCAAGAACATGCCATGCTTTGAGGCCTTCGTTTCTTCCATTTCATTTAGCTTTTATAACAATCTTCAATATAAAGCCAATAATATTTCCATTGACCCCTTAAAATTGCTAATCTGAACACATTGGATCACAAGCAGAAGAATGATTTACTAAGATTTTTGTTATTAACAGTACTGAAATGATTAATTTACTAAGATAGTGTGCCAAGATGTAGCTCCATTGTACTTTTATGATATATTTGAGAGACTTTTAAGTAGTTAATGAGGTCTCAACTCAAGTCAATTAATTATAGTTTTAGAAGTTAAGACTTCACAATATTTTGAGGTTTGTGAGTTTTTTTCACATTTTATTGATTTATGTGTATTGTACTTAAGTGGCCAAATCTATATTACGTACATTTGTACTACCTTTATATTATACTCTACATTAAAACAAAATTAAGTAACCAATTAACAAATACATTATTAGTGATCATTGATGTCACGTGGTTGGAGATGAAAAAAAATCAATGCAAAACGATTATAATCTTATGATTAAATGTTTTTAACATTAGACCACATCTATTATACAAAATCAAACGGTAATGCCACATGTACAATATTTTTTTGTTCAAGTATTATTATCTCAGTTTAAGGTTTTTGTTTGTAACTTTATATAGATTGGTGAAATTGAGGGATCTAGAGAGAAGGCGAAAGGTATATATGGGCTTTCCTAATTGAGCAGATTATTAGAAGAACAAGGCAAGTGAGGAAGAATGTAATTGGTTACAGATTAGAGGCCATGGGAGTGGATTTTCTTGACAATTGGGAGGGAAATCGATTAGAGAAAAGCCAATTCATGCCATTCTGGATGAATTTAGTTTCTGTATATGTTTTCGGCTTTTTTTTTATTTTTTTATCATATACTGTAAATTAGTTTGCTTGGACTTGCCAAGGTCTAAATTCTTAACATTAATTTTAAATAAAAAATTTTAAGTATCTTGTTGACAATTATATAGTAAGCTCTACTAGAATGGAGCTAGTTTTCTATTGTGTGTGTGTGTGCTTCTTCTTTTTTTTTTATGTAGGTTTTTTTTTTTTTTTTAACATTCAATGTGCAATGGGACATATGGCATTGCGATAAAAGGGAAAAAGTCATATTTTTTCTTCCTTATTAGAGGTGAGAAAAGAAAGAGTTATAGCAAATATTCAATTTAGTTCCTCATCTTTAATTATTATTGTTTTTTCAGCATATAGGAAGTCCAGTCCTTAAATTACTTTGGTTTTTTATGTCATTCATTAAATCACGGAGTTAAAAACGGGCTTAAAGATATGCTTAAGTTATCAGAATTAAAAATGGGTCAATTTGGGCCTGGAAGGGCTATAACACAGTCGTTGGGTGCACCATTTGTGCAGGACTAATCTCGTCAAAATATTAAATTTGAATCCTCCAACGAAAGGCCAAGACCAAAAGTGATTAACACGTAAGTTAAAACCCACCTATGATTTGTTAGTTTGATATAAAAAAAATTATTTTTTAATTAAAATTTTAAATTTAAGTTTTATAAATAAAAAAATAAGTGTTTAGAGAGTGTTTTTTTTTTTTGTTTTTATAAGGTTTGATATAATTTAAATTTGTATTAATTAAAGCATTCATATGCCGAAAGTTAGTAAAAAAAAAAAAAAAAGTCAAGAACCCAGACGAATGGGATTCAAGCTCTAGCTTACCCATATTTACTCTCTGATTTTTTTTAAAAAATTTTAAATTTCCTTTATTTCTTAAAGATATTGTGTGCATAGATTACAATCTCTGTCTTCTATAGAATACGTAAGGTATTCCAAGACCATCCATTTATATAAAATTTCATATCTATACAACAGAATGTGTAAATTCATCCATTAACATATATCATTTATAACAACAAATAGGAACGGAGATAAAGCTTGCAAATTATATAGCATTTGAACCCAAGAGTTATTACTTAGTTCCAAATTAGTTTGTCCATTTTTTTTTTTCCAAGGAAAAATGGGGTTTAGATTGAGGGAAGTTACCCCAGTCCTCTAGGTCAAAATATATCAATCGTCTTAATAAAGATTTGTAGTAATACTAATCCATTCACGAATATTAATGGCAATGAAACTCAAATTTAAGAACGAGTGGTCAAGGATGTCAAACCTTATCAGTTGTGCTAATTCATGGACAAGTTTGTCCTTGTTGTTTGTTGTTCACTACTGGAATGTAAGTTGCCCACTTAGACGTAGATCATTAATGGCATGATCCGTTTGTCATGTTTGCTTGCCATTTTAGTAGCATTTTTCAGTGATATAGGCTTTTAGAGTGCAAGAGTACTTATGTGGAAGTCTTCTATGCCTCTTAGCAGCCACTCAAGGCTAGTTTGACTTTGACATTTACAGTAGCAAAGAAGTTGTTTTACCCATCATCCCCTCATGAAATCCTAGTGGCACTCACTGTATTATAACTATAAAGACATGGCTCCACTACAGCTTAATTCAAGGTATAAGATGCCAAAATCCTGTTGGTTTTTGTCTAAATTAATTATTAGAGTAGAGTTATTCACTTGAATTGATGGAAGATACGTGAAAATTTGTGGATTTTGAGGTGAGGGTATGGGATGACTAGAGTAGATCATGCAATGCATACCAGGGGTTTGATTATTTGCCTGTGTGGATATGGAAAGGACTTTGTTATGCATAGAAGCTGTTGTTTCAGGGTTTTTAATTGAAACAGTTTTCGATTAAACAAACAATCAACACTCACATTACAAATCAATAATTTAGGATAATTTCTCATTGAAAAGAAAATGCTGGCTAGTAACATAGGACCCTACCCTGCTCCATATTGTGCTTTTGCCTTGTCCATCAGACTGAACTGTTACTATTTCCCACAGAGAGTCTATCTGCATCCCCATTTTAAAGACCTTAGTGGCTACACCTCATATTCCAATAATCAACGTCTCAATTTTCAACGACAACCTCTGTTGCTCTTTTCTTTGTCCTCCAGGACCTCCACCTTCGAATCAATTGAATATTTTTTTTTTTACCCATCTCATTGATTCGGTTAAAATGAGATCCTTCAAGTCAAGGTTAGTGAATTATGAACAATTGCTTTCTCATTGATAATTTTAAAAAAAAAATTTTTTTGTATTGTCATTTTTAAAAAATTAATATTTATCAATCAACAAAATGAAGAGTAAACTTTCTTATTAATTAATTCAACACTATACTTCATGAGCGATATCCAATTTTAATTAACTATAAGATATATACAATCCTAAAAAACGACTCTATAAGAACTTAGCCAACTTAATCGACAACTTCAATTCTTCAAATATGTAGTCACATGATAGAAATTGTATTAATAAATTGGTATTTTTAGGCATCTGTACCACGAGGAACCCTTCCATATATAATTTCCACTCAAACAGAACTTTCCATTTTGCATTCGGCCTGATCTCATCTCTTGGATTGGACCTTTTGGCTGTGAGAAAGGGGAGTACTCCAATATGCTCCACTCGTTGACATGAAAACAACTGTAAAGCCAAAGCTAACGTATGGTTTACGTGCCATCCATATTTCTTAGCATGTTCATCTTCTTTCCTCCCTCTTTTCCACCTCTTCCCCTCGCCCCTATGAGTGCGTATATAGTTCAATATTTAAGGAAGATTAGTGATTGATGGAGGTGCCGTAGGAGATGCATATATTTCCAGAGAGTTCCTTGCAACAGGAATAATTAGATGAGAGATAACCTCCATTATCAATAGCTTGCTTACATCTAATAATTTATATTTTGTAATGTAAATTGTAAAATAAATTTTTTATTTAAGAATCCTATATCAATCTAAAAACTTATCAAGAGTTCACTTACATCCAATAGTTTATATTTTGTAATTTAAATTACAAAATATGTTTTTTTTATTTAGGAATCCTATACCAATATGAAAACTTATAAGTAGGTTTGATGTTGACCCCAAAGGGGTCCCCGTAAGAAGAGCCATTGCAAGATTCTACTGCCATGACTTGGTTTTTTTTCTTTTTCTTGCTGATTGATATTTTGTTTTCAATCATCTGTATGCTGTCTCAATAGGTTTGATCCAGTGTAGAGTTTCTTCTTGTTTGATCTAGACCTTTATCTGTTTTTCTTGAAGATGTTTGGTTGTTTTTTCTTGATTCTGATGCTGTAATTGGTTTGACATGGCTAAAACTTTACAATAATTTTTTGACTTAGTAAGAACGAAATATGATATTGAATGTTGACTCAGTCTATATGTATTGATGTAGGCCCCGGGATATGTATCGATATCATGAGTGGTAGCTCTGAAAAGGCATTTTATATGCGGAAAAGGGGTATTAATTAGGCCTTATCTCTTCATCAAGTGGGTCAAGCTGTATATGCTTGACCCGGAAGCTCAGCTTTTGTATGTATTGATCAGGATCATGTGAAAAAAAGTTGTCTCTTAATTTTCAGTAAGAATGCTCCGAAATTTCGCAGTGGAGATGAAGATGTTGACACACCATCTGTATAGTATCAACACTTTGATCCTGAATGCCAGCTAATAATTCAAGCCACAGTATCCTCACAGTGACCATCACCATCCACTATCCATGTCTTTGCACCAGGGAGAACCCAAAGAATCATCATGAATGTTGATCGATCCTTAGCTTCTCCATCGCCCCTTCAATATGCTTATAAAATCCGACAAAACACAAACATGTCCATATGTACCACTAGGTTTCCCATCTCAGTTTCCTCTTAGGATATCCCCCTTTTATCCATTCTTTTAATTTAAGCCAAAACCAGATGCTCTTTCTTAGGATGTACCTAATCGCCATCACCAAAACCAGAGATACTTTCCCATGTGAGTCTCTCTCCTCTCTCTAATTAGGTTTATATGCATGTAATATTGATTAAGACTTCATGCTGATGACTCAATGTGAGTTTCATCAAGGGAGACATATATACCAATATTTGACTGATTTTGCTATGATTATGCAGGAATTAATGTTTCTAGCTTTAGTATCTTATGACTTTCAAGTTTGTGTTGTGTCTGTAATTTGCAGACATGGTCTGAGCGCAATCATAGCCGATCGAGCTGCAAGATTATGATCCCAAAATCACGTTATCATGGTCTAAAATATGTTTTGCTTTTCCTAAATTTGTCTGCATTTGTGGATTCAAGATTCCATGCAGCCCATGTGCTTTGTCCCAGTTTAACTCATATCATGCCATAAATTTTTACATGGGCCGACAAAAGATTGGAGATGCTGGGCGACAGCTCTTTGATTCCCCACTGTTTTTTTCAACAAAACTGTCCCTTTTCTCTCTCCATCCCTGTTAGTATTTGTTAAAATTTATTTTTTAAAATATCACAGCTATGCATGTTAATAAAATTTTCCCATTTAAGTAAACAGAAGTTAAAATATTTAAATATTTTTACTTAATAAAATTTATTAAAAAAATTTATTACTTTTATAATTTAAACTATTTATTATTTAAATATTAAATTATCATTAACTTCTTATATATACGATACATTTATTATATGTTAAATTCATTTGATCTGTTTGCCTTGTTTATGCTATTTGTGGTTGCAGAAACAGTGAAACCTTGCGCCATCACGATATCCATATAATGTCAGACCTGCTTTCTCAATTAATCTACTTCACCTTTATTCTCCTAACCTTCCTTGCTGCTTCCTAGTCCAATTAATTATTGATTATCTTCCTTAGGCTAATCATTTGCTCGCCCTCAGTTATCTATATGACCATATTTCCATTGCATTAGATCACTCACCATATCTGTCGTTCTTTGTGATGGATTATCAGCCAAATACCTCCCTTCGTTTAAGTCAACCCAAAAATCAACCAAGCCTAGATCTTGCACTTGAAACTTCTTCTTCTTCCTCCTCATCTCCCCACAGTCCATCCGAACCCCGGGTTTTCTCTTGTAATTTTTGCCAAAGGAAGTTCTATAGTTCTCAGGCGCTAGGAGGGCACCAAAATGCTCACAAGTTAGAGAGAAATCTGGTCAAGAAAAGCAGGGAGCTAAGTTCGGCTATACGGGCTCACGGGGGGTCTGGTCCAGGAAGGGGATCCAGCAGCATCAGTGGTTCGAGCCATGTTCACGGCCGCATACAACCACCTCATCTTGCAACCTATCAACAAGGCCATGCAAGCAGGTTCAGTGGTGAAATGGGGAATGGCAGAAGAGATGTGAATTATGGCTCTAGTCAAGAGATGGATTCTTGGTCCAATGGACACATACCTGAAAATATTCAGGATGAGTTTAGTCAGCTTGACTTGTCGTTAAGGCTTTAAATTGCCCCTTTTTCAATTTAATTTCATTTTCTTAAATTAATTTTCATTTAAAACCCTAATGATATATGTTTGCTGTTCAAACTATTCCCCAATGAGGAATGAAGGAAGTTCGAGTTTGTGAACAAAAGAAATGCGTTAAAAATGGTAACAAATGTTCATTTCCAAAGAGAAATTTATTAATTAAAGATGATTTGAGTTCCCTTTGTGTGGATGATATTTCCATTTCCTGATTTATGGTAGCAATATAAACTAAAGTGAAGAAAAAAATAAGGTAACAACAGATTTTAGAATGGTAATCAAAACAAAGTCTCATAAGATACTTAGGTGGGGTGAGTTAAAAAATAATAATCATAATAATAACAAGAGTAATTTTTATTAATGACTAATTTGGTGTTAACCAATAAATTGTGTGACTTAAGTAATAATGCTCCTTTTCTAAAAACAAACTGATCGCATTTCTTGTGACATAAAGTTTTAAGTTTTAGGTTTAA